ATTTAATGCTCAAGTACATATATTTATTAAATATATTTAATTTTCAAGTTTCTCACCTATAAAGTAAGTTCCAACAAAATTTGCATGAAAAACCACTTAATGAAGCTTGAAAATGTAACCAATATGGAGTTTCTACCTTCGGCTGCTGGGAACATTTAGATGGGTCACATCTGGCCCTGTTGGTCTTCGGATCTGGACCGAATTAAATATTTTTTTTGGGCTATGGGCCCAAAGAAGCATTCTGAATTTTTTTTTTCTTTAACAAAATTAATCCCATGGAAATATAATTAATTGAATTAAATAAGACTGTATTGCTTATTTTAGACGATTAATTGATATATTAATTTAAGTGTTTAGTGTTTTAGTATAAAATTATTAAGAATTAACTTACGGAGTAATTATTTTGGAGTACGGTAAATGGTTGATATTTCAAACGTCATTGATTTAATCTTGCATCAAATTATTAAATGCAATTTATACACATTTGAAGCTTAATGTATTTATGTCACACTTACATGTTTAAATGTTCATTATATTAACTAATGTTTGGTTAATTATAATTCATGGTTAAGATATTCTATTTTAATTAATACAATATATATATATATGCACACACACACACACGAAGAATGCATTTTAACATAAACGTGTTACTTCTATTTAATAACTGTAACTCTATTTATTTATTAATAGACCCCTTCCTGATATTTTATAGGCCCTGGACGAACATAAAAATAGAACCCACTGCAAAAAACAAGGCTTTTAGCAACGACTTTTGTCGTCACTAAAAGTCAATTTATCATCAGAAATGGTATATAACAACGTGTCATCGTTATAACCTGTGGCGGAAACATGTCATCGTTAAAATACGCATATTCAAATCTCACTTTTCTTGTAGTGACTATCGGTAAGTATGAAAAAACAATTCAATAGATGTTTTTCATTAGTATAAAATTAAGTACAAGAAATGTTAATAAATTATTGAGAAAAGAAATTTTATTTATCTTTATTATAGATATATAAGAGAATACTTAAATTTACGTACTTCTTATTAGGTAATTTGAAACCAAGAGTATAGAAACTATGGCTAATAAATTCATATGTGTTATTTTGATACAAAAAGATAATTCGTGTGAAAGAAGTAATCGTGAGGGTTAATGAGAAATCAATAATAAATAAGATTATCAAGATTTTCTATACAAATAGACAAACGAGGATTGATAAGAATATGAAAGAAAAGATGATTCACTGAAAACCAATAAGAATATGAAAGAAAAGATGATTCATTGAAAACCAATAAGAATAAATAATGAATTAAACATATAATATGCAAGCGCAATAAATGATTGCTTGAGCACTTAAATAGAATCTTGTAGTGTGGTGAAATCCCAATGAAATATACATAAGTCAAACAATTGATGAAAATATTTAAATTCTATTTTCCTTCTTTTTTTGCTTAATTAAAATAAGATTTTAAGATTAAAAGTTTATGGAACATGACATATGTAAGAGACATTACTAAATACATTATACATCTAGTAGAAAAAAAATAATTGACTAATCACAAAACAATGAAACACGTCATAAATTATAAGAACAATAGATTGGTTGTCAAACAATAGTAAAATATTTTATGTAGAAGCAAAAATAGATAACAATAGTCAACAAAAACAATTAGAACAACATAACCAAATAGCAATAGTCAATATAAGCAGAAATTAATAAAAATATTCAACAAAAATATATAGCAATATCAACATATGATCTTAATGTTGAATTGTTGAAGCACAAAAATGGTAAGCATATAGAGATAGCAATAACCAATATCATTGGACCTTGTTGGAGATAAAAAAAAATTAGAGAGATAATAAACAATAGCATATAATAAATGACTAAATAAATTTTTTATTTTCTTCTCCAATATAATTAGTTGATATATTTTTGGGCCCTTATTATCTACTAAATTTGTTTCCCTCTTATTATATGCTACAATTTCTTGGGTTTCTTTAATTCATTAAATTTTTTTAGACTACTATTGTATTTTAAGGGAAAAACTTGGGACCCTGATATTTTTGAGTCCTAGGCCGCTGGGTGTACGCCTGTGCCACCCTCCCAGGTAGTGATGGCCAAAAACCGGTCCCGGACCGGTCCCAATATTTCTCATAACCGGCCATAACCGGTCTCGTTCGAAAAAGTTGAGCCCGGTCAAGCTTTATTGTAACTGGTTATGGGCCGCCAGTCCGGTCATTAAAAAATAATTTTTTTATTTTTATTTTTTTAATGATATATATTTTTAATACATTATAAAATTTGTAATTGAGTCACTCAAATACACTTTAAAAATGTGTTTTATTATAATTAAAATTACATTGTCTTACAAAATATAGCGAGAAACCGATAATTGTGAACGTTTTTTTTTTTACGTTTTTTGCGAATCGAGAACTTGGTATGTAAATTTTTCAACCAATACACTTATATATAGTGTGTATAACGCAAAAAAAATACAAAAAAGGACCAAAAAATGGCTAGTTTTTTAAAAATTTCGGCTACATTTTTGAAAAATCGGGCTAGGCCGGTCCCGCGAAACGCCCCAAATCCATAACCGGTCTCAGGCCGGATTGGTCCTTGGCCGGTCCCTGTCCTCCAACGATTCTGAGCCGGTTTTGGCCATCACTACTCTCAAGGACGGCCCTGTTTATTAGTCACGATATGTGCAATAATTAAGTAATATACCTTTGACGATTGAGAATATGATGAATGATTAAGTGGACTATTTAGACACATGGACTTTCCTCACAGGACATTAGACATTTGGACCGGTAAGAAACATTCGTATGAAATTTTGAGGATTAGACGAATGGTCTTTTCAAAACATTAGTTAAGGTGTAAAATCTAATAAATGATCTAAACTTTTGATCATTTTTAATCTTACCTCCACCTCATAAATTGTGCTTATTACGCAAATTGATATGATGCATCTCGATGCATCGCAATAGTCTTGATTTTCAATCAGGATTGATCCAATGGTGGTTATTCCTTCTTACCCTTCTCACCGTAACGACTTTCATCATTCTCACCAAAACCCAACCCTAATCAATTAATAAAGGTTACTCGTTGAAAATCCGTATGAAGGTTTTGAGATGTTTAGTAATACTCTTAGAAACGATGAGTTTTCATGATTTTACGAGAACTATGATGCATGCTAAAGTGTGATACTTTACGTTCTGTCATTGATGTTCGTGCAATGTATGGTATATATGTTATGTTAAGAACATGCATTGCATGTACAAACATTTTTACATTGACTGCATGAAACAGAGTGTTTTAGTATATATGAGTAAACCACCCCTATACTCAAAAACAATGTGTATGATTTATCACTACAACATGAATTAAATGGTGCAAAGAAGATCTCAACAATAAAATCATATGCAACATTTTTATGTTACCAATTATCGTATTGCAAATTATGATTTACGATTTGATAGCCATTTTATTATAACTAATGAGGTCACTGGATTTGGTTGATTGTTTCTATCATGAAAAAATACACATATATCTCAAGATCATATATACACAACGTAAGAATGAAAAAAGTCGCAAGACTGACTAGAAATTCGACAACAGTGTGGTGTCATTAACCTTGACTTTATCCAAGGGATGGTTGTACAAAGGCTTAGTGATGATCTCTACGGTTCAATTAACGTCGACTTGGCGTCACGTGATTTGTTTTTCTCCTCCAAGCAAAGAGCAATGATGCACATTTGACTACTAAAGGCTTAGGCCAAGTTTGGTTATGAGTTTTTCACAAACAAGTCATTCGTGTTTAAAATCCTAGTAATGTTGGGTTAACTTGATTTATTGTTATTGATCATTATAAAATGATATCGGTTTATTTATTACGATTAAATTAAGGGGTGGGTTCTAGTGAAAATGGAAATTATGATGAAAAAGGTAATTAATGAGTCTCCACCTTTGGATCAACACTACTAATTCGATGCACCGGATCAATTATCATAATAAGTGCAATTTATGGGATGGGGGTGGAATTAAAAGTGATCAAAGGTCCAGATCCTTTCTATGTTTCTGGATCACCTTAACTTCTATTCTCACACACAGAATTTTGTAACCCTCACAAACAGAACACATGGGAAGAATGGATCAGAGACGGCTGTGCGTTTTCTCAGAGGAGATGAGGTGGTATATAATCTTAATAAAAATAGATAAAAATGTAAAATTGCAGATTAATGCACAGATTGAAAGTTAACAAGTAACAAAATGGAGAGGCTAAGAAAATTGGGTGTAATTATTTTGGAGTAAGGAAAGAATCCGAATTTGAAGCAAACCAGGGGGACGAAGAGTGTATTAATTACAATCAATAAAGACCCAACCCCTTGAGGAGTTGTTTCTTCAAGTAAAAACATATTTAATGTAGAAATTAACTCATTGGTGGTGGTGGTGCACCACAATTACAATTACAATTCAATAGGATCTGACATCATCCAATCTTCTGCACTTTTTTCAATACACATTTTCATCATCAATAATAGTTAAAAATATGTTCTTTTTTTCATATATATATATATATATATATATATATATATATATATATATATCTATATATATATATATATATATATATATATATATATATATATATATACGTATATCATATATGATCATAACAAAATCAAAACCAGGTTATATTATATAGTATTCATTACAGTTCATCAAAAAGATTCATGTGTTGTATACCACCTTGTACATTTTTAAGCTAAACAATAAAAAGCATAAATTATACAAACAAAAAGTCAATGAACATGAATAAAGAGCCAATCAACTAACCTCCTTCACTAGGATGGATGATTTTTTTCATATATATATATATACACACAAGAAGAAAATTTAAAAGGAACAAAACAATTCACTCTGTTTTGTTTTTGTTAATTAATTTAGACAACATTGCTCCTTCTTGCACATCACACATGAGGAGTTGTTTCTTCAAGTAAAAACATATTCCATCAAAAACTTATCATCTCATGTTCAGTGAAACAAACCAAAAAAAATTAAAAATAATCAAATTCATACACTAAATTAACCATTTTTATATGGAAGCAAGGGCAGATCAACATCAAATACAAGCATGTAATACAAAAATTTACCTCCAAGCAATTCACGGTTATCTACACGATTTTTCATCATCACCTTCACTTTGCTTTCGTAGAAAAGAATCGGCTGAACCCACGAGTGTTCTTTTCAGGTGTTGGGTTAGATGATGAAGACGACGATCCTGATTTTGTGGGACGATGTTTTGAGGTGGTTTTTGAACTGCCCATTGGTGATCTCAATAGATCGTTTGCTTCAGAATCCCAAGGACTTATTTGGTGGTTGTCTAAATGAACAGGAGACTCGTTTCCCACTTCACCAACTTGCTGATGCAAGCTCATGCCATTACTAGTTGTTAATTCTTCTTCTTCTACTTCTTCTTCAGCAGCAAAGGTTTGACCCTTTGGACTCCGCTCGTTCAATGGAGACCCCATGAACTCAGTTTGAGGACGCATGCCTTTTAACTGCTTTCCCAGAAGAAATATTGTTTCTTGACACTCTGCTAGCTTCTCTGCAGCAGCTGCCAACTCTCTCTCCTGAAAAAAAAAAGTACCATAATATTTGTTTTTATTATCTACCATCTTTGAAATGCGTTGAACAAACAAAGCAGCTACAACCACAAAAGTTTAATTATAGTCTCGAATACATCTTATAGAAGAAATATTTAAAATGCATTGTGGCTACGAATCCTAACTGTACATTTTCAAGCAAATTACACCTACACCAAAAGCCACCAGTTAAGTTTCCAAGCAGTGTAAACTGTAAAGCTGTATAATTACTATAAAAGGGTTGACTTGCAGTCAAATATTTATACTCCATAATAATGAAAAATGTGGGAAATTATGTAAATGAAAATCAATGCTGTTATACTCCATTTGTTCCATTAAACTGCAATGCTGATGGGACATTGAAAGGAAGCGTTTGGCTTTTATCCCCAGAAGTACTCTTCAGTAAGGAAGAAATAACGGAATCTTGTAGAGACCCAAATCAATCAATCAATAAATGTGCTAATAAGTATTAGTTTAAAAGATGCTAAAAGAAATCAAATGGAAATATTTTATGAGAAGTGTAGTAATATTTTTTATAGGATGGACCACTGAGTGAATAATGGTGATAAAATTTTGGCTTGGAATTTTGCCAAAAGGGAAAGTTTTGCTAAGATTCTGACATTCCAAAAAGGAAATTGGTCAATTTTTAGCCCCTCTGCTTGTATGCAATTCTTGAACCCTTAAACAAAAAAGAGATACAGGGAACTAACTCTAAAGGTCAGTAGTTTTTTATGTGAAGGCCCTAGAAAGGAAAATATAGGTTAAATGAAGTATAAGAATTTTTTGTATTAAGATGTTACTTTAGGTAATTATTATGGTGACAGATGAATGAACATGGAGAAACATAATGACTCACCTGGTTACTTTTGCCATCCAGATCAGCAGCAGGAGAGGTTTCAACCCTGACATAATTAGCCAAAAAAACAAATCAGACGTATATTTGCACTGGATTAAAAAATGTCAGGTTATGTATGTTTTTAGATGTTATAATGGCTAAACGAAGCATTATATTTAGATATGCATGATCTTGGACCCAGACTTTGTAGCAGTTACGCAAAAATCCCCGCAGTCTCTACAAACGAGTAACTTTTAACAAATAAACTAGTCTGTGGTTGGATGTTACTGTGAAACTAATAATGTCAATAAATGATTTTGATAAGGAAGCAGGATGATTCTTTTTTTTTTTGGTAAGAGCTTATGAAATAAAGATTAAACAAGAAATGTTCTTAATAAGTACATGAAATACAAATGTTAGAAAATATGAGCAAAAGCAGGATTGACAACCCATTGCCAATTTTTATATAAATAAATTATGGTATTTACCTTTGCAGTTGCTCTTGAAGATCCTTGCACCTCGCCTCGGTGTCCCTGTGATTTTTCCTCTCTTCCTCAAGCTCATTATCCAACATTGATATCTTGGATTCCAGAAGGTTAACCCGAGATTGCAAATCATCAGCACGAACTTCAAGTGAGTTGTAAGACTCTGCCATACACTTGAGTTGTGTCTCGGATAAACCATTGGACTTTTGAGCAGCTGTCAACTGAGATTTAACTTCTGATAGATGAATTTCAGTTTCACGTAACTGGGACTTGGTGGTTTCAAGATTTTCAGTACATCTAGCTAGATCCATAACCATGTTCTCTTTTTCTAATTTCATCTGTTCAAACTCCTCCTGCATGCATTTCCACGATGACACGTTCAACTCAGAGGTTGGGACAGAGTTTCCATCATGGGGTATGTCAGGATCAGAAGTGGAATCTGAAAATTGGGTACAGCCATTTGAATATCCCTCACTCGCAGGGCACTGATCCAACTTATTCTCAGGCAAAGCAACTTTGTCTATGCAATCAGGACTACTGGTTTCCGCATCATTAATTTCATATCCCACAAAACTGAAGCGAAGTTCACCAGCTTTCCCAAGAATACCAGAAAGGCAAAGGACAAAATCGTTTAGATCTATTTTGCTGCCTACAATCTCTTTGAAGGCGACATAGAACTCCTCAAGCTTCTGGATTAATCCATTCTCTTCAGTAGAAGTTCCCAGCACAGACTTTGCCTCCTTACCAAGAATTAACACGAAGTCGTAAATCCGGGAAATAGCAGCAGCCAACTCTTGGTCCTTGGCATGAAGAGTTTCATTTCCCTCAATCAATTCAAGATTTTTGGAACTCGCCTGGTGATCAGATGTAGCATCAGAGCAGCCAGTTGCATCCTTAACACCAACTGCCAAGCCTTCATGTGAAGGACCACGTACAGCCTGTACAACTAGGCTGATCTCTTCATAAAGTTTTACTGGATCTGTATCTTTAGGTAATGACATTAGTAAAACAGATATTTTAGATTTAAGATTCATTAAATCTCCATCAGGTTGTGGAACCAGTGTCAAAGAATCCCCATTTGGTTTCTCCAACTCGGGCTTTTCTTTAGCCTGTAACTCTGAGTCGGTGGCAACTGCTATCTGGTCCTGATTTGGAATACCACATCTTGCATGACCAGAAGTATCTGGGCTGGATATGGTTCCATGTGAGTCATTTGATGAATATGCCAACTTCTCCATCTCCAAGAAATCATCCATAAGCTCCAGACGGTTTGCACTATCAGCTCTTTGAGGACTCTCAATGCTCTTATCTTTTTTGTTATGAGAGAGCTCAGAGATCAAAGCCGTAGCCCAGGAACCAGCAACACTCATTTCATCATCATTCCCTTCTTCTGAGAAGGAGGCCACACTTGGAGGGTTGCTTAAGGAACCAAGAGTGGGAGTCTGCAGACCAGATCTCGTAGTGCTTTTCAGTTGAGAATTGGATTGCAATTGAGATTCCAGACTCTGAAGTTTGCTAACAGTCTTAGCACAAATGTTCCTCGAAGCTTGAAGTTCAGTATTGCGTTTAGCCAACGCTTCTTTCAGCATCTTAGTTTCTTCTTCCATTGCCAATAATCGCTCTGTGAGCAAATCATTCTCTTTCTGGTACCTTTGTATGCTGTCAAGAGAGAACTCCGGCAATGAAGAAAAGTGTGGACTATGTGGACTAGGGGGCTTTACTGGAGACCTTTTTATTCGAGTTTCACCATAATCCCGCCCCAGGCTGTCTACTTCCAGTTTCATTTGGGCAAGTGCTGCAGGTCCAGGCAACTTCTTTCGGACAAGACCACGCAATCTTTGGCACTCTGCTTCCAGCTTAGCTATTTTCTTTACGCCTTCCAAGTGCTGTTTATTTGCAACTTCAGCAGATCGTACACTCATATTTTTTTCTTCATTACGAATTTCTAACTCCTTGGCAACTATATGTAGTTCATATTTAAGAGTATTTATTTCCCTCTCACATGATTCGATGTTGCTTTTTAAAAGCTCAATCTCTGCCTCTGCTTGTGATTTCTCCTCACTCATTTTGATCAGCATGTTAGAGCGCTCCTGCAAAGACCTCGAAACAGCAGCATTTTCAGCAGCAGACCGCAGGAGTTCTTGATCTAGGTTTGCAATCTTTGCATCAAACTCAAGCTTCATCTTGTCCCACTTCTTTGTATTTGCAAGTTCAACATCATTCAAATTCTTGTCATGTTCTTCTTTCAAACTTCGTATTTGCCGCATGCACTCCTTGAGAGCACCATCCAAATGTGAGGCTCGATCTTCTGCAGTAAGTTTTAATAGAGTGACTGATTCTAGATGATTTTTCAGGGTTGCAGCTTCTGCCTCCGCCTTTTCCCAACCTATGCAATTAAAATTTAGAATGTAGAAATTTCATGGCATAGAGAACAACCGACTTGAGAAAATTGTGATTCATGGTTTGCTATGGCACTCATATTAATGAAATCTCATCAACTATAATCAACAAACAGATAGCATTTCTTATGTGATAAGATTAAACCATCATCACACCTGAGACGGCTTCCTCGGCAACTTTAGCGTGCTGTTTCACCAGATTCTCCTTTGTTGTCATCTCTGAATGGGCTTCAGACAGTTGCTCATTCAATTCCTTGACTTCATCTTCTAAATTCTTTATCTGATCCTCATATACCAATTGTTGATCCTCATATCTTTTCACTTGTTCATCATATGATTTCACTTGATCCTCAAATGATTTCACTTGATCCTCCAATCCAGTTAAATGTGAATATGACTCCACAGAAATCTGAACATAATTTGGCTTTTTGTAGCTATCTTGTTTCACCTGAAAGAGAAGGGTGATGAATAAAGAACAGAAGAAAGTATTACAGAAAGTATATCCAAAAAGGGAAGGAAACTAGGAGGTTAAAATATATCAACAGGATCCATGGAGGTTGATCCCACGACAGTACAAAGATGAAATCCATCACTGAATAGGAGGTCAACTCATATCAGCAAAAGATATGCTCATTAGAAAATATTGTGATGGGTCTCACAATTTTATTTTTCCAAAAGATTGGAAACAGAGAGCTTTTCCAGAAAGCGCTTTAACAAGTGCCAGCAGAGAAAGTGGAGCCATTGCTTTCTATTTACAGCTTTGGCACGAATGAAAGAGAATGCTACTAGAGCTTCTACGGCGAAAATGCAGAAATAAGTTATTGATCACACAGAGTTCTGGGGAGAGAATGCTACTAGAGCTTCTACGGCGAAAATGCAGAAATAAGTTATTGATCACACAGAGTTCTGGGGAGAAGACTGAGAGCTCCAGAGCCAGGTCCTACGGAAATGTGCCATATAGAGATCTTACAGATTTTATAAAGAATTATGGAAGGGCAAGTGAGCCAACCTTGTCTCCCTGAGATCCAGCTGAAGTAGGGATGCTAATAGATTCAGATACAGCAACTGCTTTGTCAGCACTTGACTTATCAGATGATTTCTTCTTCCAGGGCCAACTCCGACGATCCATGATCAGCTATACAAAATAAAAGATCCAGTTACAACCTAATTAGATGAACCAACACTGATTTAGAATTAGTTGTTTCATAATAAATCAAGCATACGTGGCTTGGATATCAGCTTATGTAACAGGTTTCTGTTCAAGAATGTGAAATAGCCCTTTTGCCAAAGGTGAAGTTACAGCCAATAGTCCTACCCCGTTTTCTCAAAGCTAGAGTAAAGCCAATTCTGGCCTACACAGTTAAAACAAGTTTATCACTTATTTAGCAAGTATGACATCTTACCAATTAAGTAAATGGAGTGATCACTCTAAATGTTTTTGAGTGAATGGTTCACATGCATTTACCTACCACATCTTCTAAAATTCAAAAATATTTATCAAATTCACACCTGAGCTCATTTCTCTCCATAACAATTTTCTTGAACTAAAAGCACGGCTTCATAGTTATTTCAAATCAGGGATTTCCAAGCATATCTGGCCCCTCAAAACTATTTTGCAATTCCACCCTGAATTTGCCCAATCTTCAGCATAACTACCCAATTCTGGAGACCTACTCAAGACTCAGGAGGACATAAGACTTGTAATGAAGTACAAATCATTATATTTTTTTCTCCATCATTGTCATCTCAATATGCAAAAAGAAAAAGGAATTCCTCTTGTATGTTTCTACTAGTCCTACAACAGCCAATAAATTCATCAAGAAAATATTCACAGCCTAGCAGGCACATGAGTATTATGTTTTTACCCATCTGCAGAACTCAAATAACATAGTGATAGACTTGCATAGTTATTTATTAGTCTTCATAAAAGCATTCATTTTCATTCATTATAGAGTTAAGTTGAGAGACCTGTGCTTTTTTTCCTTTAGTGAATACATAGGTGATAATGCAATTCGAGTATAACCATTAACTGATCACAAATAGAACAGAACCAAAAAACTTTAATCAATAAATAATCTAATCATCAAATAGATTACCAGCCACACAACAATACACCATTTAACTAATAATGTATGGTTTTTCCAATGCGGAATTATCTCAGTAACTGCAGCTAAATTATTTTTTCCTTTGGTGATAGCATCAGAGAGCAAAATACTTTCCCTGCAGTGATATTATTTATCAAAAGAGCAAAACCCAAAAACATTCCAGATCCTTGTAAAACACCACTGCGAGCATTTGTCACTGACAACTAATGTAGACACAGACGGTGCTTGCGAGAATGTATTTCACCAAACTATTTTTATTTGGGACGACAAAAATTACACAAGGCCAGTGCTCCGTTAGTTTCCATAATGAAAAGACAAATCAGATTTTATGCAACACAACAAAGAGTAGTGATGAATTTCTATTTATTATGAACAAACCTGGAAAATAAATGCAAAGGATTTCTAATCTCGCACAAGAACAAGAAAGATGATATTTGAGTCTTCACTCAAAATGGGGATACCTTTCTGCTTATGCAGAGCATTCAGAAACCTTAGTTCTAGCTAAAAAGTTATAAATTTTTCATTTTAATAATCCTTATTTTCGGTGGAGGAGGGGTTGGGAAAAAGAAAATGGAGATTAAGACCGAACACCAACAGCCCTAGAAAACAATGGCTCAGAATGGACATTCTGGAAGGGGGGAAAAGGCCTAAGATGAGAACTGACAATTTAAAGTTGAAGAGGTATAAACTAAAATGAAAGGAATCCCAATCCAACAAGAATGGCATGCATCACCAAATCTGGAGGAAATTATCTTGACAAATATAAAAAAAATAAAAATAAAAATTGAGCAAGACATAAACACCGACATCATTTAGGAAAAATATCGTAGCTAACCATACTAATTAATTAAAATACTCCAAATTAAAGAGCATAACATTTATATACGGATTCCTCTAGTTCGCAAACATAATTAGTCAATTCAAAGGCTAATTTTAAAAAAAGGCCAAAAGGAATCAATTTTCAGTAATATTTGCCAACAAACATGACCTAACAATGTAATGTAAAAAGATTTGCAGATTGAATTTCTTATCACAAAAAGTCCAAATTCATATGCAATTGAAGATCAGTAAAGTTGAAGGAACACGGAATCGCCGACAACAGTATACAAGATTGAAAGTAAATAAAAAGAAACAAATTTGGGATTAAACTTTAAAAAAGGTAACAAAGCACATAACCTTATCAATCTAGAACTCGATTAGATCAAGGGGCGATGGAGAAACATAGAGTCTCGAGAAAAGCGAAAACCGATTAATTACTTGAGAACTAAATAAAGATCGCAAACATCGATGATATTCAACTTACCAGCGACAATGTAGTTCTCAGAGAGAGAAAATGAAAGTTAGAGACAGAAACAAATAGATAGATAGATGTCGATTGAAGAAGCTTGATTGAAGAATTTTGTCTTTTCAGTTCCTATAGCAATTTAAGATCCACACTCAGAGCTTATCTGTAAATTCAGATTTCCAATAAATAAGATATATTTACGGAAGTGGTGGTGGTGGTGGTGGTGGTGGTGGTGTCGTCGATGTGGTGGTAGTGGTGGTGGTGGGTGGTGGGTGGCGGAGGGACGAAATTATATATGCGGAGGTGGGGGGAGAAGGCTGCGTTAGGTGTCACTTAAAAACTCAGGGGGTTGAGAACCTCTTAAAAATACATCACCATATATTGCAGTATATGGAAATTTCACATTCACCCCCTGCTTTTACTTTTAGTATGTATCTCAATTTCACTTTTAACCCCATATTATATTTTATCTACATTTTGGTACCATTAAGATCAAAATATTCCATTTTTACCTATGACATTTAAAAATATTAACAGTTCAAACCCAGATGTTTTCGAATCTCAAATATGCTATCATTTGTTTAATGATAATTGTTCCATTGACAAACACATAAAAATTGCTTTGTTTATATATATATATATATATGCATTTTTAAATGCCAGTTTTGCCCTTGAATTGTTACGATAATCACGTTATAATGAAAATGGTTTTTAAAAATTATAAATTAGAAAATATGTCGCTTTTATATAACCAGTGAAAACAATGTTGTTTTATTATAGTTCTTTTTAGTTTTTATAATTTATCTTTTAACGATAATAAACACAATTACATTTGTCTTGGGCCATTTTTCATCCGAAAGTGTGTCAAAGTAGAAATTTAAAACATTACTTTTAACGTCGTGCATTATTTTGGGTATGTACTTGGAAATGTCATTTTAACCCCTCCATTAACTCTTGTATGTGTTTAGAAATTTCACTTCGACCGTCTAAATTAATTATGATAGTACAATTACTTTACATTCTTTTATCCTCACTTCTTCACATGTAGTGATTTAATTAACCTTTTTCAAGTGGCGATTCAATTATTGTGTACCCTCAAAGACTACTCATCTTCATGTGGATCGCATCCGTGCTTTGCTCTTTCAAGTTTACAACGATTCAATCATTCAATTTTTGTTAGGGATTTATTCCATGTGTATATTTATTTGGATCACTTATTAGGATTCAAAATATCAAAATGGTTATATTTTCAAGCTTTAAAAGTCACCTATTATCAGCGTTCTATGCTCCAATTTCTAAGGCAATGCAATTGTGGTTTCGATGATGATTAATGGATTTAGAGAAGAGTTTGGTGATGTTAGTTTAGATCCTTGATCATTCACTTTGCCTTGTTGTCGAGTATTGTCCCAGCATCATATCCTTTGTGTCCCCCTATCGTCAACCTTTTTCCGAAATTCAGCTCAAGTTGGCACGTTTGGCCTTGTTGAGGCAATGATCAAGGGGTAAGTGCTAGCCACCCTAAACCATATAGCGATCCATATTATGATATAATTTTATATAGATAAGATAACTGATTATGTCAAATAAAATTTGAATATATTTGAAAGGTGGGACATTTGCTGCACCAACTTTGGCATTTCCCCTCATTTTGGTACCATGGGCCATTTACATTGCAAAGCTCCCCATCCTTGGAGAATTAATGGACTTGTATTAATTTTATTTATTTATTTGTCACAAAATTAACAAGTAAGTAAATAATTTTAAGCTATTTTTAAAAAACATAATATATCATGATTTATATAAGATATTTCTTAAAACCCTGGTAAGATAATAGTAAGTAATCAAACCGAGAGAATGATTATTATGAATTGTTACGTTGGAAAACAAAATAGAAAATATATTTCCTTTCAAATTTAGAAACCTCATAAATGACACGCCTTTTAATGAGTTCTTGTTTTACATAAGTTGTAAAACTATACAAAAGAAAATGTATTATTATGATATATATATATATATATATATATACATACATACATACATATACACGGGAATATCCAAATAAGAAAGATAAAAAAGTTTAGAACGTAAAAATAAATTATTCATATGTGTATCATTAGTAAATCGAAGATGCATACGTAAACCATATTAGTTTATTTACATTATTCACATATAAAGATGTACATGTGATCGTACTTTCTTGTTACCAATGATTCATAAATGAATCGTTTATTCTCAATTTTTCAACTTTTTTGAAACCTACATATAAATACACAGAGTCATGTTCATACAAAAATTATAACCAAATAAGTAGACACGAAAATGACTGAATCATGTGCGATTTTCACTAAAATCACTTGTAAAATCAGATGTGATCCACGTGACTTTGGTTAAGAAAGGAGGTGGCGGATCAGGTCGTCCACTCATCCTTTGTGTTGACTGTGTTTCATAATCATATGTTAATTAACATGTAATTTGACGGTTTTCTTGTTCTCTTATTTTAATCATGTTCTCATATGATCATCCATTTCTTCCTATATATCGAATATTCATGGAAATTGATTAAAAATGCATTTATTAGTTAAAACCGAAAAAAAATGCGAGAAATATTTGTATTTGAAAATAATAAAAAGAAACTAAACATACAAGTGGAATGATAATAGAGCAATTAGGTATCTTGTTTATTATATTAATTTTTCCATTCCATTCGTTTTGCATTTTGGTCAATTGGCATAAAAGAAATGCAACATATCATGTTGACTTTCACTCTTGACGTTTTTTTAATCTCGATACCAGTGTTACAAACATTTTGCATACATAATTTCTGATGCGTTTGAATCTTAATATGTAAAATGGTATATTTATTTTTCATGAGGGAGCAAAGTGCACATTAGAGAAATGTAAAATAAATAACAGCCGAGTTTTATACTTGAGGGGTAAAAATTGAATAAACTTAGTAGATGAAGGGGAAGAGTGTAATATCAAAAACAGTTAAAAGACACTTGGAGGGAATAATCATGTGGGATTTACTTTTTTATTTATTTCTTTATATAAAACTGAAAATAACAAAAATTAAAATATATTTATATGAACTGCAAACTTAAATATATGTAAAACATAAATCAATTTAATTTAATATATCTCATTTACAAATAGAGTTTTATATGGGAAAGAAAAGAAACTGAAGCCATGATCCAAGACAACATTTTTGAAGTGCCAAGATGGAAACACCATATATATATATATATATATATTATCAAAATTTACACAAATCTTACCCTAAATTTGGTGTAACACGAATCGATCAAATTTGGTATATTATTATTTATTTACATTAAATTTTACATCAATTATAAAATAAATCTTACATTTTAAGGTAAGATTTGATGTTAACCATTGTAATAGATATATTATTTGCATTAAATTTTGGACTAATTTTTATAGATTTGGTGTAAGATTTATGAGTCATTTACCCAAATGCTTAACCCGTAAGCATTTATCGATAGATTCAGACACTTTAACTTATTTTACCTAGTAGAATTGTAGTCCATGAAAACAGTGTTGTAGACAACAACTTACTCGATAAGGGCTTGTCGAGTGAAGTAGTCATTCTCAGTTAACGGGTAGACTATCTATCTTTATCATCGCATTTATTAGGTAAGATTTTTTATATTTGTCATGTTCATTCATTAAGATAAAATGACCTAATATAGATAAGCTTTTAATAAACAACCTCTTAGTGTTGATTACCCATTAGAGAATAGAGATGTTGTAAGGTTATGATACATGTCTTGTAAAAATACTAGGGACTGATATATAGATTTTGACTACAATTTCTTTTAAATATGAAATAATTTCGTTTTATTTATTATAAAGACGGAGGACCGTATGAGAAAAAAAGTTAAGATGAGAATGGTAAGAAGAGATATGAACTCTTGATCACTTTTAATCTCATTCCTACCCATGAATTATGGTTTAGAAGGGAATTGATCTAGTGCATCTCGATGCACTTCATTAATGTTGACATTTAATTATGATTAGTCAAAGAATGAATATCTCTTCTTACGTTTTTTTATTACAACTTTCTTTTTCACTGAAATTCAACTTTTATCATAAATGTGTGTGTATATATACACCAACGATTGTGAATTTAAAGTGATCCAAAAAATAAAATTATAATTACAACTTACATGTTTTAAGCATATGTATTGTTGATTACGGGTTTATTGAAAATTATGTATTATATATATATATATATATAAAAAATATGAACGTAGATATCATCTAACGTACATGCATTAAACAATACTTTTCAAGGCTATTGACTAAGCGTTGTATGAAGATAGTCGACGGCTTAACAAATCAATAATTTTATAGTTTTGTAAACTTTTAAATCTATTTTAGTTGTTGAAATTTTTATAGTACCAAAACCCATATTATTTTAATGATTAACGTTACATAAAGATTCTTGTAAAATTCATATGAATATTTCATTATATACATGCAAAATCAAGAATTCGTAATTATATTATTTGTGGTCA